AACCATTCTTAAAAAAGGATGTGACCGCCCAGCTGGCATGGCGCAGTGGTTGAGCATCGACCTATGAACCAGGAGGTCATGGTTCAATTCCTGGTCAGGGCACAAGCCCAAGTTTTGGGCTCGATTCCCCAGTGTGGGGTGTGCAGGTGGCAGTCGATAGAAGATTCCCTCTCATTATTGATGTTTCTATCTCTCTCTCTCCCTTCCTTTCTGAAATCAATACAAATATATTTTTTTTAAAAAAAGGATGCAACCAAGGCCAAAGCCCAGAGGAGTCCTAAGCCATCAAGCCGGTCTTTTCAAGCTAGAAAGGCCATTAGAATCTAGTTAGTTTAACAGAGCAGTACAAAGTGAGGATTTTAGAGTGAGATGACCCCGGTCCTAATTCTAGCTCTACTAATTAGACTAGCTGTGTAATCTATGGCAAGTTATCTCCCTAAGCCTCAGTTTCCTTGTCTTTAAATGGAAATAGTTACACCTATCTACCTCATAAAGTCTTATGAAGATCATACAAGATAACTTTTAAAGCTTGGCACATACTATGTGTTTTTTACATGATACATAGGTAACAACTTAGTTGATTATCATTATTTAATACATCTTCCTCATTTTACAAATGGTGAGGAAACTGAGGACCCAGACGGAGGAAGTGACTTATGCAGTCACTCAGCTAGTAAGCACAATGAGGCCAGAACCTAGACTTCTTCAGTAGACTAAGGGGCTTTTCTGTGCTCAAAAAGGTACAGGCCCGTAAGAAAATCTCAATCAATAAGTAATTGTTGATAACACTAGTAGCACAGTTCCCCTCTCTGCACAGCTTTTGAGTCTTTGATGGTAGAGAGGGGCTGCTCAGTACTTTCATATCGACTTCCTTTGTTTAGAGTCTAAACACAGTCGTTGAACCCACGACTCTGATGTATCGAGATGATGCTCTAATCAACTGAGCTACCCAGCCAGGGCCTTCTTTCAGTTTTATATCTCTATCTGGCACAGTCCCCAACACATAAAGCTTAATAGATTGGTTTTTGTTTGTTTGTTTGATATTTTTATTGATTTTAGAGAGAGAGGAAGGGAGAAGGAAAAAGAGAGAGAAATACCGACGAGAGAGAAACATCACTTGGCTGCCTCCTGCACAGCCCCTACGGGGAATAGAGCCCACAACCCGGGCATGTGCCCTGACCAGGAATCAAACCAGCCACCTCTTGGTACATGGGTCAATGCTCAACCACTGAGCCACACCAACCAGGCAGATTGTTTTTTAATAATGAAAGTATGGCTCAGATTTCCACATATGGAGACTGGGAGTTCAGGAAAGTGGACATTTCAAGTAGACATCATGGTCTAAAGCCAATTGATGTTTCTCTCTCATCGGTATTTCTCTCTCTTTTTCCTTCTCCCTTCCTCTCTCTCTCTCTAAAACAAACAAACAAAAAATTTTTTTGACGGAAAATCATTCTTAAAGGAGAATGTAGGCTATTGGAAAGAAAAAGATGTAAAAGGTATAAACAACTGGATTGCGTGGGTTTGTAAAGAGAAGCAGAGAGGAAGGAATTTGTAAGTCTTTCAAGGCCTTTCATGATGGCTCCCTTGAAATCTGCACTGATGTGCTACTCCCTTCCAGATAGAATTATTTTTGTAATTTTCCATCCTTTGTTAATACCTCTACAAACTCACCACATTCTCACCTACTATCATTTCTCACTAGACTGTAAATTATATGAGGACAACAACCATACATTTTGTTTATGTGTGTACCTCCCAGAATGGCTACCAGAGTGCTTTAAGCCTACCGGGCATAACAATGTTGACTAGATTCAACAGGATATGGAAAAAAAAACAAAACCCTCATCCACTTTGGTGCAGTGTATTTTTACACCTAGCATATATTCCCTACGCATGACCTGAAATGCTTGGTGTGGGGAGTGCCTTGGAGAGAAGAAGGTAGAGCCTTGAGGAGGAAAAAGAACAAGGAGAGATTGGCACTTTAGGAACTTAGAACTAAAACCCCGCTCTCCAGGATTTGCTGTAAATGTTTAATCACTCTCAATTAAACAGCTTCTATATGTGGCCATCCGTGCAGACTTTTGTCAGCAGACAGACGTTTGAATTTCCACTCTAATGCTGATTTGTTATTTGACTTTAGTCAAATTGGTGCACCAACCTCAGCCTCGGTTTCTTCATCTGTAAAAAGGGGACAACAACTGTACGCTCACAGGGATGGAGGACCAACGGGCTAATGTATGTAAAGCCCCTAGCATAGTCGCTGCATAACAAAAGGCTCCTCTCCACTAAGCCAGTGGGGCAGGATTTGTGCCAACCAGACGGTGCAAACGGGAAAACAAACAAAAACATGAAAGTGGATCAGACAGCACAGCACAATTAGGAAACCCTCAGAGGAAATAGCCTAGCAGGGCCACTCCATCGCCCTGGGGAGTAAATCTCTTGCAGCCGGTTGTCCAGTCCCGGCCCCGGAACACTCACCGTCACCCCGTATCTGAGCGCCAGTCCAGCCAGCGTGTCTCCGGGCGCCAGCTGATGCTCCAGGCGTCTCTCCCGCACCGGGGAGCAGGCGGACTGCACCAGGCTTCCGTAAGAACGAGCCCGGCTCCCCTGAAGCAGCCCTGACCCCCCGAGGGGGCCCTGTCGAGAGGGAGACGCCATCTCCTCACCCTGCCGGCACCTGGGGTTGCAAATGCGGGGCGCCCGGCTAAGTGACCGAGAGTGACAGGCCCGGGGACTGGGAACGGGTGGCCAGGAGATTCCTTTCCCTTTCCGTCTTTTCTGCCGAGTCTCCCGTCTCCCTGACTACGCACCCGACTCCACTCTGGCTTATCCTCCTCCCTCCCGGCGCCTTTCCCACGAATCTGCACTCTGAGTATTCAGTCCCTGAGTCTCTCTCCTTAGACACCCCTCCGACTTTCGACCCTCTACAACTCGCGACGCTGACCCTTGACCTTTGAACCCTAGACACTTTCTTCACTGTTCGGTTCAGTTTGCCTCCAGGTCTAGCAGCCCGTTCTCCGGGGACCCCGTATACCCCGGCTGCGCCCTGTCTCTAGGTCGGTCCGCTAAGGTGGGGAACAAATCAGGTCCCCCCAGGTGGGCTGTCGCCGCCGACAAAGCGCGTGATGATTGGGAGAGTTTGAAGTACACTTTCCACTCAGAGATCCCCAAAGGCCCACTCCGCATCAGATGAGTCCCCCCCCCTCAAATTCGGGCTCCACATCTATCTCTCCAAATGCCTCGAATATGAAAAGATGCAAGGGCCCCGAACCAGCCGGAAGGCAAGTTCTTTGAAAAAAGACTTCATTTCCCGAAAGGCTCCGCGTCTGCGGGGTCGCAGGGGACCATAGGAAATGCAGTCCCCCTCGGTGAGCTGGAGGCGGACTTTAGGGATCGCGCAGTGCATGCCGGGAAGCCGTCCCCGGAAGTAAGGAGGCCAAACGGGAAGAGACCAGCCGGAAAGGAGACGCCCCACTCTTGCTACGGTGGCCTGAAAGGAGTGGCGAAGTCTGTGCAATAGAATTTATTATTTCTGGGACTCACCGTTGTGATGTCTTTCAAGAGAGAGGGGGACGACTGGAGTCAACTCAATGTGCTCAAAGTAAGTGCAGAGGGGAGCGTGGAGAGCTGCTTCCGCTGCCCTCTGAAGGCCGCGGAGGAGTTGTTTTGTTGCTCTGGCAACAGATGGGGGTTGAAAGTTGGGGGGGCGGGGAGTCAGGGTGACTAGTCTTGGGTTACTAGTCCTGGGTTGTGGCCCCTTCTTCGCTCTGTGATCTCTCCATGGTCTTTAGTCCGTCTGAGCCCCTGTCCCTGTCATCTCCCTGCCCCGCCCCCCTCCTCCTACTCCGCTGATGTTTCCGGACTTCTTTCCCTTCTCTTTGCAGAAGCGAAGAGTTGGGGACCTGCTGGCCAGTTATATACCAGAGGACGAGGCGCTGATGCTACGGGATGGACGGTGAGGGCGGGCGAGAGGAGATCAAGCCTGCGGGTTCTGCGATTAGAGGCTCAATACATTTTTGTTACTGAGGAGAGCGGGAGTATGTAGGGTTTTTGGTGGGGAGGGGGCAGGGGTGTGGGTGGTGGAGATTAGGATGGTTGGGATTGGGCTTGGGAAAGGCCTGCTAGGACAGGGTGGGACCGCCGGCAGAGACCCACTCCCCAAGGACTCTCTATCTTCTCTCTCCTCTCCAGCTTTGCTTGTGCCATATGTCCCCACCGACCTGTACTGGACACCCTGGCCATGCTGACTGCCCACCGTGCAGGCAAGAAACATCTATCCAGTAAGTGTGTTGGAAGACAGGGGATAGAGAATAAACCCTGAAGCCCTGGCCGGTGGCTCTGTTGGTTGGAGTGTCCCCCGTAAACCAAAAGGTTCTGGGTTCCATTCCCCCTCATACCTAGTAGGTTTCAGGTTTTTTTGTTTTTGTTTTTGTTTTTTTTTAAATATATTTCTTTATTGATTTCAGAGAGGAAGAGAGAAGGAGAGAGAGATAGAAACATCAATGATGAGAGAGAATCATTGATCGGCTGCCTCCTGCACATCCCTCACTGGGGATTAAGCCACAACTCGGGCATGTGCCCTTGGCTGGAATCGAAGCTGGGACCCTTCAGTCCGCAGGCTGACGCTCTATCCACTGAGCCAAGCCGGCTAGGGCAGGTTTCAGGTTTGATCCCAGTGTGAGTTTGTGAGGCAACTGATAGGTGTTTCTCTCTCACACCAATGTTTTTGTTTTGTTTTTTTCCTCTCTTTCTCCCTTCCTCTCTCTCTTTGTCTCTCTCTCTGTCTCTCTCTCTTTTCTAAAGGAAGATCAGATCCTCCAGTGAAGATTAAAATACATATGTGTGTGTATGTGTGTGTGTATTTAAAAGTTGCCAAAACCGGTTTGACTTAGTGGATAGAGCGTCGGCCTGCGGACTGAAAGGTCCCAGGTTCGATTCTGGTCAAGGGCAGGTACCTTGGCTGCGAGCACATCTCCAGTAGGAGATGTGCAGGAGGCAGCTGATCGATGATTCTCTCTCATCGATGTTTCTAACTCTCTATCTCTCTCCCTTCCTCTCTGTAAAAAATCAATCAAATATATTTTTTTAAAAAAAATATTACATATGTCCAGACCTTTTCCCAAGCTGCCCCTGCTTTTAATTTTCTTGCTTTTCTCCTCAGGCCTGCAGCTTTTCTATGGCAAGAAGCAATCAGGAAAAGGAACAGAACAGAATCCAAAACAGCAGAATGAATTGGAGAAGGAAGAGACCAAAGGAGAGGTAATCAAGAGATGCAAGTGTGTGTTCCAGGGAGCACCATACTGCATACCTTAGGTGTGAAGGGCTTTGGCTTCTAGAAAGAAGCTCTGACTCTGTTTTCCATCTCCATACCAGGCTCCTCTGTTAACCCAGACTCGACTTATCACCCAGAATGCTCTGCACAGAGCTCCTCACTATAACAGTTGCTGTCGCCGAAAGCACAGGTCTGTGGGGCAGGAAAGTCGGATAGGGAGGGATAAAAGGAGATAGATGGTCATTTTAAAATATTTTTATCACCATTTATCTCCATATACTCTCTTCCACCTCCACCTACTCTCCTCCCCCTGCTATCACCACACTGTTGTCCATGTCAATGAATTCTCTTTTTTTCTTTTGTGCTCAGTCACCCTCCCTGCACCACCACAGCCCACCACCCCTCAAACCCCCATAGATGGTTCTTAAGTGATTGTTTTCCAAATTGTACTCTCAGGAACACTAGCATTCAGGAGATGTTAACTGGTATTTCAGGAAAAAGAATTTTGTAATTTACAAAAAAGTTTGGGAAATCACACTTTGTCGAATTACAAAGTAGGATACTTTTTTAAAAAATTAAATCTTTATTGTTGAAAATATTACATATGTCCCCTTTTCCACCCCATTGACTCCTTCTAGCCCACCTCCACCCCCTGCCCCAGGCCTTCACTACCCTATTGTCTGTGTCCATGGGTTATGCATATATGTATACAAGTTCTTTGGTTGATCTCTTCCCATCCCAAAGTAGGATACTTTTGAAGAATAGTAACATTCGTATATTTTAAGGATTCTACAAAGTGTTAAGATAAAAAACTTAAATATTTTTAATCTAGACTTTCCTAAATTAATTTGATTGCAAAAGTCTTTTTTTAAAAAAATATGTTTTATTGATTTTTTTTACAGAGAGGAAGGCAGAAGGAGAGGGATAGAGAGAAACATCGATGAGAGAGAAATGTCGATCAGCTGCCTCCTGCACATCCTCTATTGGAGATGTGCCCGCAACCAAGGTACATGCCCTTGACCGGAATCGAACCTGGTATCCTTCAGTCCACAGGCCAACATTCTATCCACTGAGCCAAACCGGTCAGGGCACAAAAGTCTTTCTATGAAGGACACATCAATATCTTTTTCTTTTTTTTTTCCAATCCTTACCAGAGGATATTTTTCCACTGATTTTTAGAAAGAGTGGAAGGGAGAGGGAGAGACACAGAGAAACATCAATGCAAGAAGGACACATCAACTGGTTGCCTCCCACATGTGCCCTGACCAGGGCCAGGGATGGAGCCTGTAACTGAGGTACATGCCCTTGACTGGAATGGAACCCGGGACCCTTTCCACGGGCCAGTGCTCTATCTACTGAGCATTGATGAACACAATTTAGGAAACACTGCTTCAAGGGGTTGGGAGTCACAGGAGACATGGCCCTTTCCTTGACTGCTTTGACAGATTTTGATTCTTCTCTACCCAGGCCAGAAGCTCCTCGTCCCTCTGCCTCGCCTTCCCCTCTGCTCCCCCCAGAGGTTGAACTCCAAAGTGGGAAGACCAGTAGGGACCCTGAGCCAGGGGCAGGCCCACAGGCTAAGGAGTCAGCAGCTGCCTCATCCCCTGCACCTCTGAGCCCCACGAGAAGACGAGCCCTGGATCATTACCTCACTCTTCGAAGGTGAGTATGCGGAATCACTCTTCCCATTTTCCTATGACCCTCCTCTTTTCAAACCTTCTGAATTGTTTTTCCTATCCCACTGACTTAATAAACCTTTCCTGACCAATTCTCTTTTCTCTGCTGTTTCTAGCTCTGGATGGATTCCAGATGGACGAGGTCGATGGGTAAAAGATGAGAATGTTGAGTTTGATTCCGATGAGGAGGAACCTCCTGATCTCCCCTTAGACTGATACTCTCTTTCCCCATTTAATTCACAAATAAACTATAGCAGGCGCTGGGAGCCTGACTTTCCTCACGTCTGGTTCCTTGTCCTGCTTCAGGATTTCAGAGGTGTTCGTTCTCAGCCCAGCCAATCCTTCCCTGCAATGTACACAGCTGCCCATACTTCTAACCCTTCCCCCACCTTCTACCAAAGTCATGCCAAGCGTCAGCTGCACGCAGCCCGGTGCCCTATTAATAAGTCTGTCAGAAGAGGTCTTTGCCCTTCATGTTGTCTGCCTTCTTTACTACCTCCACTCAAAATCCTTTCCTCCTTCAAATCACATGAGGGTTGTGGGTAGAAACTGGGGGGTGGGGGGGTCTGGCTAGGGAAATAGGGCTGAGGCTGGGTATCCTGTGAAAGTAGAAGAGACTAAAGGCATTAGCAGGCTGATGGGGAACACCAAGGGAGGGAGCTCCCCCACCTCTTCTAGTAACTTAACCTCCCTGCCTGTTGATCCCCAGAGTATAAATAATCCCCAGATGAACTGGCAGTAACCCTTGGGGGTTAGCGCCAAGATTTCCACCCCAAAGCCCAAGGAAGGAGGCAGGCAGAGTGGACAGAAGGACCTTTATTTACAGGAAAGGGGAACAGATGAGGATTTAGCATTCAGGGCTCCCAGTTGTTGATGGTAAAGGCAAAGGTAGTGTTATCTCTTTTTTTGCTGGCGACCTGTAAAGGAGGAAGAGTAAACATAAGTTTTGTTCCACCTCTTGCTTTCTGCAAAGGTGGTCTCCCTTCCAGCTCCTTGACCAGACTGTAAAGAGGTAATGTCTTAGGCCACCAAACATGCCCCTATCATCATCATCATATTAATAAAACAAAATAAGAAATGACAACAAAAATACTATGTTTCCACACAGGTATGTCTAGCTTCCTTTCTACTTCTCTACAGGTATATGTTTGGAGCAGGGGTACTTCCCTATCTACTTTCTGACCACTTATGCGGTTTGTACTTCACAGGTGAATATCACTTAGGGAGCACCCCGGGCTGTTAGTCACTAAGTCGGCTTTCAGGACTATCCACCAGCTTTTGTACCTATTGACCCTCCCCTCCAACACCATGTCTGTAGTTACTCACGTAGTTCGTTATTCCGAGTCACGGCCTGGGCTGCCCGAGCGCGTGGCCCTTGCTGTGTAAAGTGGTAGCCAAAGCGGACGATGGAGGGACACTGTTCGAGCACGGTGGCCATCTCCATCTCCACTGCATCACCAGGCCACTGGCGCTGGGGGAGGGAGAGATAAAAGTTGTCAGCACCCTCTCTGGGTTGTCCACTGTTGCAGATCACCCAACCTTTGGGAGGTCAAGGAGGCTTGTTTCTCCAGCGTGGGAGAGGTGCTGGTTTGGCTCCCTTCATAGAGACAATGAAGAGAAATCAAACAAGATCAGATGAGATCCTGACCCAGCGGCTGCCTCAGGGAGGAGACTTAGTGAGTATTAGCTGAATGCAAAGCCCAAGGGAAGGGAATGCTGACCTGGTTGTCTACACGGAGCTCAGTGAGCGTGGCATTTTCCCGAACTGCCTTCAGCACAGCCATGAGCCCTGTGCTGCTAATGAAGTTGGATTCAATGTTCAGGCTCTGGAGGCTACGATTCTCACGCAGCATGTCAGCCACCGCCTGGGTAGTAGGGACTTGGGTTAGGATTAGGGGACAGTTTCACAGATGACTGAGGAGAGAAAGAACAGGAGCGAGAGGGAAACACAGCTCTTTGAGACAAGTCCTTGAGGAGCTTTAGGTGGGGCCAGGGGGTGACAGAAGGAAGGGTAGGAAATAGGGGAAGCAGGGAGATCAAGTGTGCAGTGGAGTTGGGGTGGTAGAGAGGGTTTTGGCTCTTTAGGAAGATGATCTAAGGATTTCAGACTGTGGGGAGGGGGTGGGAGCTACCCTAAGAGAGCGTGATGGGAATAGCACCCCCAGCACAACCCTTTATGACAGCCTTGCCAGGAATGCATGCCAAGTTATGGGGAGAGGGCTAGGGATGTCAACCAGCCTCACATTGGCAATGGGGTCACCACTCCTCGTGGCCACCAGACTGAAGCTCCGGACATTGGTATTTGTCTTCATGGCCTCGCACAGCTCAGTTAGCATGGGTATCGGGATGTCCTGTCCGAGGGGAACAGGAGGAGATGGTGGGACTTCCCATGTCAGCAGTTACCCAGTTTTATTTGGAGGCTGGGATCAAATACCTTTATATTATTGAGGTTCACTTCCTCCAGGTCCTTGTCATTGCTTCGAACACTCTTCAATATCTCCTCGATATTTGTGGGATTTGGGGGCTCATCTGGCACTGGCTTATACTTGTCAGGCTGCACTACACCTGTGGGTGAAGGCAGGAAGGAAACCCTATATACCCCACAACCTTCTCCCTGTTGGTTCTCTCATCACTTGTGCACATGTCTTCTTCCCAATTCACCTGTTTCATCCTTTGCTACCTTTCCTCCGACTCTGGGACTGCCTGCCAAGAGCCCTGGGAGCCCTGCTCCCACACATACTCACTACTAATGCCTTCGGTGTTGCAGATTTCTCCACTACAGATGGCATCGTAGTATTGCTTGTTGCTCATCAGTGTGTACATGCCCAGAATTGCTGGAAAGAGTAAACGGGGGATAAGGAACAAGAAGGGATTTTTCCAAGCCACCCCTCTCATCTCATTCTGAATCTGTTGAATTTTTTAAGCCTGACCTCTTCCACTTTTCCAAAGAGGTTCCCCTTCCTTTGGCCCCAGGGGTCCCTTCCATAAATTGCTTGAGGCAGTAGTTTTTAAAATATTGAGACTGGGCTAAAGAAGGTCCCTAAGGAGCCACTAGAGGGTGAGGGAGTCTGTCAGACTTCTGCCTGTTTTCAGCCAGAATAGTTCCACTTTTATTTGCTTTATAATCCCTGTAAAATTGCCCTTGAGATGTTAACATATTAAATTTAAAAATGAATGAATTATGTAAACAAACAAGTAAAATTAAACACCACTACCTGAAGGTTTTTCAAACATCCGTGTCCTGGTTCAGGGCCTTCCCCACCAATCCCGTGCCACGAATAGAACCCCCTGCCTCTGATCTTCCCACTCTCCTCAACTTCCCACAGTTGCTTACCTGCAATATCACACATTTCAGCATCTGTGGCATTGGCCAGGGCCTCCTCCAGCTCAGGCTCCAGAGTGATCTGCTCCTGTGCTGGAATTTCCCTTTTGGGTTGAATATATGGTTTCCCTGATGGGAAGAGGAAGGATGGTTCATTAGAGGTCTAAGATCCAGGCCTCCAGCTTCCTTTTCTTCTCCAGGAGATTTCAGAATGTTGGGTCACTAGGGGACACTGGAAAGCCTGAATCCTCTTCAAGCTCGGGACTCCTGCGTCTTTTATAATAGCTGGAGCGTGCAAGCTGGCATGCAGGTATCAGGGCAGTAGATTCCCCAAGCAGCTAGGAGCTGGCAGGTGAGAGGGAAGCTGGAAGGGGACATGTGAGAGATAGCCATTTGGGTTCTGGGAGGCATGGATGTTAGGGTCTCCATACCCTTCTTCTCGCCTGTGAAGGGCACCAAGTCATCACGCTCTTTGACCTCTAGTGCCTGCTGCTCCAGGTACTGCAAAAGGGCGTCTCGGTCCAGTGGCCCTGTTGGGTTCTTCTTTGTCTGGTCACGTTGTCTTAGTCCAGCTGGCAGGAGCAGGTTCTTAGGGATGAGTTTTGGGGAGCAAGTCAGACTTCCCCTCTGACCTGGGGCACCTCCAGGACTCCCTAAAACATCTCCAGACACATTTTTCCTGGCCTTCCTGGGACTCCCCAAAGGTAGCCCTGGACTCAGCCACCCCGGGGCCCTGTGTAGCCTTCCCCAAATGCCTGGGGATCGCCCCTGGTTCCTTGTGCTAGAGCCTCTACCTCAGGGTCCATCTCCTGTAGCTCGCAGTCCAGCTGCTCTAGCTCCTCGGGGCTCAAGGTCTTTAGGATCTCATCTTCATCGATGTCTCTGTATTTCTCCAATTCCTTCAGATACGATGACATGATGGCCCCCACCCCCTCCCACAGTGTGGCACTCACAGAGCCTGGGGAACATGAGGAAAGTGGTTGGACAGTGGAAAGACCCACGTGGACAAACACAGTAGGGACACAAAGATCAGCTAGGGAGCAAAACAATGAACTGGATGCCTTAAGCTTAGAAATCTAGTTGAGCATGGGAAGATGGAAGGTTAGGTTTAGTTAGAACCAGAGCCTTCTTGCTGCTTCCTCAGCTTCCAGCCACTCTGGATGAGGATCCAGGCATCCAGGCTGATTTGTCTTCAAAATATGATGGAAAATCCTGGCAGCACCCCCCCCCCCCCCTATTGGGCCTCTTGACCTACTACAGCTGCTCAACAGTTGGCTCCAGGCCCAGTTCCTATTGAAAGGAGTTGGGGGGCAGAAAGCTTCAGGGATATTCCTCCTCTCCTCCCTTAATGCTGTCTTTTTCCTAAACTGGTTTAAGAAAGCAAGGTTTTTGCGGGGAACAGTTCTCTTACCCCACCCTCATTTCTTCTTTTATTGTAAGGGATCAAGATTTCAGTTTGATAAGTTCTAAATCCTAAGGGAAAGCAAGGGTGCAGAGAAGCTGGGGGAGCAGGAGTGCGTGGTTCCAGGTTGGGGGAAGGGTGGTATGGCCGCGGAGGAGGGGCTGAGTCCCCATAATTTGTCCCTGGCTTTGGACAGGAAGGTGACACCAGACCAGTGGGTGGGAAATGCTTCCTAAATGGGAGTTTCTTTAAAAACAGCAGAAGGGTTAAACTTGCACAATCTTTTCAATATAAAAAATACACACAAGCTACACATACACACCATGCTTAATATGAAAGAGCCAGAAAGTGTGATACTTACATTGACAATGTAAACTACACAGTTAAGGAACATGACGGACAGTGGCAGAAACATACACTGAGTGACAGAGACAGAGATACACTTTGTATTATTCCTAATAGGAGCCACTCTTCCCATCTCCCACCAGGCTCTGATCCATAAGCCCCCTGCCTTCCCCACCTACCAGTCCTGAAGGCCACTTCCCTCACCTCCCCTTCTGTCCGTCAGTCTGCGTGCTACTGGAGCACTGTCCCTGCGGCAGGAGGAGTCCAGGAGTCCAGTGCCCGGGTGCCGGGGGAAAGGGTGGGGGAACAGTGAGCTCAGCATTTTATTATTTTAGCTCTGGCCAGGTGGGGGGTAGGGGGAGATCACATATACACAGCCCCCATACTCTGCCCAGCCCTGAGAGCCTCTAGTGGCCATTCACAGCCATGACACTTACTCTTTCTCTCCTCATACAAGCCTAGGTCCTAGAAACTGGAGTTCTAAGAGAGTCAGATAGTTCCTACTTATTTGGTGCCTGCAATATTCAAAGCAGTGACTATAAGGTGATAAAAAAGTGAGTATAAGGATTTTGTTTTGGTGTCTAATTTTTAAAAAATTTTTAAATTGATTTCAGAGAGGGATAGAAACATCAATGAGAGAGAATCATTGACTGCCTCCTGCCCGCCCCCTACTAGGGGGGATCGAGCCCGCAACCCGGGCATGTGCCCTTGGCCAAAATCGAACCTGGGACCCTTCAGTCCACAGGCCAACGCTCTATCCACTGAGCCAAACCAGCTAGGGCTTGGTGTCTAATTTTAAGATGTTTATAATCTAGTTGGAGGAATGAATACAATTTAAAAAGGGCAGTTCCCTGGCTGGGTAGCTTAGGTGGTTAGAACGTTGTCCTGGTACACCAAGGTTGTAGGCTCGATCCCAAGAATCAACCAAAGTTCCACTATTGAAAAGTAAACAAAAAAGTAAAATAAATACAAACAAATTTATCAGAAAAAAAGAATCAACAAATGCATAAATAAGTGGAACAAATTAAAACAAACACACAAGGCAGCTCATTGCCCTGGCCAGTGTGGCTCAGTTGGTTGGTCATCATCCCGTGCACTGAGGGGTTGCCAGTTAGATTCTTGGTCAGGGCACATGTCAGGGTTTCAGGCTCAATCCCCAGTAGGGGATGTGCTGGAGGCAGCTGATTGATGTCCTGGTCTCACATCGATGTTTCTCTCTCTCTCTTTACCTTCCCGCCCCCCTCTAAAAATCCTATATAATAAAAGCCTAATATGCAAATAGCCTGAACTGCTGAATGACCAGTCAGTATGATGCACACTGACCACCAGGGTCAGATGCTCAATGAAGGAGCTGCCCTCAGTCTGCAGGTCAGCCAAGGCAGGTGCCTGCTGGGAGGGGGCCCGATTGCCCCACAGAGGGAGGTGACTGGTGGTGGTGGTGGGGCCATGAGCGGGTGGCACCAGGCCAGCCAAGGCGGGTGCCAGTGGAGGCCCCCTGATTGTCCTGCCGGTCACCCGACAGATTGGTCTTGATGGCCGGCCAGGCCTAGGGACCCTACCCGTGCACGAATTTCATGCACCAGACCTCTAATCAATAATAGGGCAGCTCATAATAAATGCTGTTAAACAAATATAAAGACCCATATATACTCAGACATTCACAAATATATCTTGCTCCCAACCTTAGATTAGACATCAGACAAAGGGATCTTTCTATTTTATTAGATTAAAAAAACAAACACAAAACCAGTAGGAATTAGGGGGAAAAATGGTGAGTGATATAGAAAAGGGCTGGGCAAAGATTAGAGATGATAAAGAGAGAAATGGAGAAAAGGGGGGAACACTGAGAGCCCAAGTCAGGGCCAGAAAGAGGTGTTCAAGGACTAAACATCTCTTCATTTGATGACGATTTTCTGGCGCAAGGCTCGAGGCCCAGAGCCAGGAAGGGGCTCAGGAGGTAGAGGACCAGGGCCCAGGGCTGAGGCAGTTGGTGGCAGTCCGTGGGCAGTGATGTACTTCTTGTAGGCCTCACGGATAATCTTGAAGGCTCGTGCAGTGGCGTAGGGTATGTCTGTAACAGGGTCCCGGTATAGGGCTGGGCGATGGGTCACTGGGCATACTTCCCGAACTGGCACCTTTGGGGGCCGCACTTGGGGAAACCATTCCTCAAATGTTGCATCATCACTAAAAGTAATGAAGGTACGTGAGCAGCGAGGAGGAGGGACGACAGTTCTAGTTGTGGTTCCAGTCCCGGTTCCAGTCCCAGTTCCAGTCCCGGTTCCAGTCTCGGTTCCAGTCCCAGTTCCAGTCTCGGTTCCAGTCCCGGCCTGGGGAGTCAATGCAGAAGCCGTGGGAGCAGGATCAAGTCTGAGGGAAAAGACAGATAAATACAAAGAGCTGAAGGAGAAGACAACAGATAAAGAGATCAGAGAGCTGAGGAAAGAGGAGGAGGAGGCAGAGTGATGGCCACATTCTGAGAATCTATTAAGTGGCAGATGGGAAAAGAAAGCTGGCAGGATGGAAAAACAGAAAAGAGGAAGAAAAGAGAGGCTAAAGGGAAAGAAATAGGAGCAGAAGGGAAGAGGAATCTGAAAGCTACCCAAGCGTCAGTGAGAGCTGTGGAGGAAAGTAAGCGAAACGGGCCTGAGAGAATACAGTTAAAAGAAGGGAGAAACAGCTCTTTCTTTCCCCCGAGACACTCACCCTTCCACGTCCACATTCTCTTCCTTAGGGCCTGGCTCCCCCAGCAGCGGCACTGTCACTGAATGATAGGTGATCACAGGCCCAGGGCACTTCCGCTTCTTATGAACCTGTTTCTTTTTGTCAGCCTCAAGTCGCTCATACGTTTCTTCAGGGTCCAAAAAGGAATGAGAAGATGGTCAGTTCCCCCTCTTCCCACGCCCCCGTTCTGCCCTACAAGCTCTCAATTATCTTCGTGGCTGTCCAGTCACTGCCTAACAGGCAATTATGAAGGTCCTCTAAGCCCTCTAGCATCTCTCATCTTACAAGTTTTCTGTTTGCCCCTCGTGACATCCTCTTTACTCACCATTTCTCAAGTCCACTCGGCTCCTCACCCACTCAGAACTGTAGGACTTCAGAGTCGGAAGGAACCCCTTGAGGAGCCTGCTCAATCCCCCAAATACTCCCCACATTTGCCCTGTCCACTTGCAGCCCTCTGGCAGAGGCGGCTCATCCTCTCATCCCACGCAGTACACCCGACTGAGCCTCACTGCAGCTTTCAGGTCACTATTCCTCTGCCCACCTGCCCACTTGCTTTTCTTCTGAGACCTCTGCCCACAATCTAGCTTATCTTCTCTCCTTCGTCACGGTCACTCCCTCACTTGAGGAAGATTTTGGCAATAATTTCTACTCTTCATCTCCATCCCAATTCCTATCATCTCAAGTCGCCTGGGTGACTTCAAGTGCACACAGATAGCCCCCTCAACACCCTATCTGCAGCTGCTTTACCACTTCTCTCAACCTTCCTGTCCATGCATGTTAGTTACTCCATCCCACTCTAGACTTTGTCACTGCCTGAAACTGCCCCCACTCTGAAATATTCAAAATCATATACATCCAGGTTCTGACCACAACATCCTGTCCTTCAGGTCTGTTTGCTCCACTACCTTGGAGATATCTCCGTTCTACTTCTTCAGTACCTGTCATACATGGATATCTCCTCATTCTATCAGCTCCTTTCAGCCTTCACTTTCCTTAAATCGAGCTCAGGTTCCTCAATCTGTCCTTTCAGTCATTCTCTTGTCAACTGAGATTTTTAAAATTTTCTTACTTTAAAGCAATTTATCTCATAAACTGACTGATTCTACTGAATTTCTAATTCTCCTGATTATTAAACTAGTTATTACAGCCCTATTTTGTGAACAAGGAAAGCAAGACTCAAATAGATGAATTTGCTTATAGACTTATACAAGTGAACAGCAGAACTAAGTTTTGCACTCTGTCCTATACAACTGTTACTTTACACCAAAGTACTTCAATAATACTTGCTCCTCGGAGCTTTCATAATGCCTAGTTCTTTGCTCCTAATCATTTACTATCCCCATTTTTTCCTTCAGATTCCCTTGTTCCAAACCTCCATCTTTCCAGTTCTTTGGGTCCTCCAGGTCTTAGCTTTTCCCATGCTCCTCAGCCCTTTTACCCACTGTTCTCAAAACCACACACTGACCCAGTGAACGTAAGTTGAGCTCTTCTGTGATCTTGGCCTCCCTGAGCAGCTCCTCCTGGGTCAGTGGCCGCTCACAGTGGGGTCCCTTTCGCCGCCGTGACTGGCCCTGCCTTTCCTGTACCCGCAGGAATGTTTGTCGTGTATGTTCAGCTGTAGATTGACGCATGGACTTCCGACCTGGGAAGGAAGTCAGAGAGAAATCTTTAAATTCATGTCCACCTCCTTTATTATTTGTTTTAATTTAAAAAAATTTTATTTGAAAATAATTTCAAACTTACAAAAAAAGTTGCAGGAATAGTACAAAGAACACCCATGTATCCTTTTCTCAGATCACCTACTATTAACATCTTGCCCATTTGCATTCTGTATGTGTGCTTATATTTTATTATTTCTGAATAACCAGATTGAAGTTGCACACATCATGGCTCTCCATGCCTAAATACTTCAGTGTATATTTCCTAAGAGTAAGGACTTTCCTTACATAACCATAGTACAGTTATCAACTCCAGTAAATTTGACACCGATTCAATACTTTTATCAGTATATTTCAGTTTTGTCAATTGACCCAAACATCCTCACTCACTGTCAGAGCCATCATCCTGTAGTTCTAGTGGTAGCAGTGTCTTCTCTTCTCGGGTCTTCTGAGAGCTACCAGCTGGGGTACTGACCTTTCGAGGCCTCAAGCTCTTGAGAGGTTCCTGGGGACAGATTGGAATCAGACACCAAGGAACAGAGAGATAAGGAGAAAGATGAGAATCATATGAGAAAACTAGCACTGCAGGAAACGGGGCTGGAATGAGGAGTACAGGGACCTGATGAAGGGAGAATAGGAATTAAGGAAGTCCAAGAAAACCAGGACTTCCCCTGCACCTTATAGGCTTTGGTGACTATTCGGCGCTTCCTTCTGGGCTCTTCTGCTTCTCCATCACTGGATGGTTCATCTCCTTCGTCAATGTCAAAGTCAGAGTCCACTTCATCCTCTGTGTCTGACTGGTCCCCTTGATACTCATCATCACCCGATTCCTGAGGACATAGGGAGATGAGGTTCTTGCTGGCAAGAGAGTCATTAATGCCCCTCCAGGAAGAACAGAACCTCTTTGCTTTTTTGGTAAAAGTTGCCCTCTTCTCCTTCCCTACCTAGGCATTCACTCTTCTCAGGCAAGAAACCTTCCTAGCTTATGGCCCTTAGCTCCAGCACCACCCGTTCCAACATTAATTGACTGCTCTTTACCTGTAGCACACCACGTTGAGTCCTGGAGTATAAAAGGATGTGTTTTGGTCCCTACCTTCAGAGGCCTTACAGTCTAGTAGAGGACAGGACATAATTATAAAAGGAAGTTATAATACGAGGCAACATATAAAGTACCAGATGGTAATAAAATGTTACAGGTGTTCAGAGGCAGCAACACGTGTTATGGACTGGTGGCCTGGTAAGGTTTAAATGTCTGTCTTTACTCCTTTAGTCTTTTAGATCAGGGGTTGGCAAACTTTTCCTGTAAAGGACCAGATGAGAACAGGTAATGTGTCAGATTTATCCAGTGATTTGTAGTCTGCAGAATCCTGCTTTAGACTGTAAAGAATGAAGAGAACTTGAGCCACGATTTAAAATACTGATAGCGCCGAAACTGGTTTGGCTCCGTGGATAGAGTAAAAATGTTATAAAAATAAAATACCGATAGCATTGCCTGGCTAGTGTGGCTCAGTGGGTGAGCATCAACCCATGAACAAGGAGGTCACAGTTTGATTCCTCGTCAGGGCACATGCCCAAGTAGCAGGAGGCATCAATGACTCTCTCTCATCACTGATATTTCTCTCTCTCTCTCTCTCTGTCTCACTTCCTCTCTGAAATCAATAAAAATATATAAAAATATATTTTAAAAATCTCTATATACAAAAGGCTAATATGCAAAGTGTCCCCTTGGGAGTTCCACCTGGAGGTCAATCATTTGCTATGATGTGCGCTGACCACCAGGGGATGACGCAGAACAAAGGAAGGCCCCACTGGCAGCTGCAAGGTCCCAAATGGCCCTGATCGCTGGCCAGGCCTAGGGACCCTACCCGTGCATGAATTTCATGCACTGGGTCTCTAGTAAATAAATAAAATAAAATAAAATACTGGTAGTATCCATACAGCCAAGAGGAAAGAGGGAATAGTGGGTAGATAAACTAGCAGGAACAAAATAGGACTGTGTATAGCAGCGGTTGCCAACCAGTGGTACGCGGACGAGGTCTGAAAGGTTGGCGACCGCTGGTGCATAACATATTTATGGAATAAGGATCTAAACCTAAGTAAAACAGAAGCTTTATCTGTGGCAAGAAGTCTTAGCTGACTGCCTTTGGCTCCAGCACAGCCTCCTTTCAACATCAATTGAGACTGTAAGATTTGAAAAGATTATACTCAGTCTATAGAGAAATTTAAATGTCAGCAATAAGCAACAAGACCAGCCACAGCTGACCTCAGGCCCAGCTGCACTGGATGATGACCCCCAGCCCTGGTGCCGGCCAATCAATCAGTGGAGACCCTGAAAGGACACACCCGGAAAGCTGCTGAATATTCTATTGGTGTCTTCTCCCGGGACCTCCCAGGAACTCCACCTGAAAGCCTGCAGGACGCAGGACGCAGGACCCAGGCACTTTCCTCTCCAGAGCACACCCTGCCTTTCCCCTCCCCCACCCTTCCGTCAGTGTTACCATTAGCCTCCTCACTCCCAAGCTCCAAGGGCCTTTCCTGTACCTCCATAACCTGTTTCCTAAGCCTAATTCTTTTAGGAACTGCTTCTACCGCTGTGGTTTTCCAAATGTTCTCTTATAAAATAAATAATAAATGTCAGTTAATAAAGTTATGGCTTTAATGTGCAGGTCAGTGCTCTCAGTCCTCTCCTCACTTGTCCCAGCATTGACAATCATTATTGAAGTTACTGAGAAATGTCTCATTCCTCAGGTGTGTGCGGATAGAAAACCAGCTGGATATTACTATGTATTGCAGGGAGCCATTGAAGATTTGATGGGAGAGGATTTGTGTGCAAGGGGTATCATAGAACGCTCTGGAGGAGATTAGATGGGCTGGAGTAGAGAACATGGAGTTCAGCCTAAACCTGAGGTGATGCAGATTAGGCCTAGGCTGGCAGCCACATTGGAAAAGAAAAGGAAAAAAACACTGGAGGCAAAGGAGTTGACTGGGTGGGCACTGAACCTCAAACACGTGGCTCTTTCTTCAATCAGTGATGCAGGCTGACAAAGTAAGCAAATAACAGAGACAGTTGGCACTCCAAGCCTGCCAGAGTTCTGTCTTGCACTAATGACCATCATTTCCTCCCAGATGATGTTTGTGAAAGACAGCCCGGGAACACATGAATCCCCTCGGCTCTAACCTGGTATTAAGTCATATCACCAGAGGGTTGCAGTTCTACTGCACATTAGGTTAGTGCCCAGTCAAAGTGCTTTCAGCCTTGGCTGGTGTGGCTCAGTTAGAGCGTTCTCCGGAGCATCGAGGGGTCCCAGGTTTGATTCCCAGTTAGGGCACATATCCAGGTTGCAGGATCGATCCCTGGTCAGGTGCGTATGGAAGGCAACTTATCAATGTTTTTCTCTCTTTCTCCCTCCCACTCTAGAATCAATGAAAAATATGTCCTCAGGTGGGGATAAGAAAAGAAAGTTACCAATTTATTACCATCCTTTGGCTTTTTTGTTGTTATTAATCCTCACCCGAAGATGTTTCTTACGTTGATTTTTAGAGAGGGCAAGGGAGCAAGATGAAGGGGGGAGAAACATCGATGTGAGAGACACACATCAATTGGTTACGTCCCACACAGCCCGACCTTCTATGTGCATGCATATGTTCTAACCACTGATCTACACCAGCCAGGGCCTTTTGGCTTTTATTGAGGGTCATTAATAGACATGACTAGATAAGAGAATGTTTTTACATCACATACCAAACTCCTGTTACTTTATGTATCTTCTATAAGGAGGAGATTCTCCCTAGGATTGAATGCTGACCAATTTTGTCTCTCAAAAAATTATATGCGTCCTAGCCGGCTTGGCTCAATGGATAGAGCGTTAGCCTGTGGACTGAAGGGTCCCAGGTTCGATTCCGGCCAAGGGCACATGCCTGGGTTGTGGGCTCGATCCCCAGTAGGGGGTGTGTGTGGGGGCAGCTGATCAATGATTCTCTCTCATCACTGATGTTTCTATCTCTCTCTCCTTCTCCCTTCCTCTCTGAAATCAATAAATAAATATATTTTTAAAAAATTATATGCTTCCTTCTTACTAAAAAAAGAAATTCAGAATTTCATTGCCAGAAAGCTCACAACTAAATTTAATATTTATTGCTATTACCATTTCAGCAGGGGCTCCTGGTACAATTACTTCTGATCTCTCTATTTTTACTGTTCTTACTTTGTGTTTATAATCATAAGCCTCCTTAAATCCTTTTTGGAAGCATGATAGGTACATATTAAATAACGACTCATAAAATGACAAGAATAGGATAATGGCTTTTGGAAGAGGGATGAGAAAGTTCTATTTTAAACTAGCTGGTTAGGGCTGTATAAGTAATGACTTCCAATCAGTCACCAAGTCCTGTGGATTCTACTGCCTTAATTTCTCTTGAACCTTCCTGTCCATGTTTCTCTACTCCCAATGCCCTCCTCAAAACATTCTCTTCATTACAGAGTGATCTTCCTCAAGTACAAATACGATCATCTTTCCAATCCTCTGGGTGAAGAGCAAAACTCCTTACCCCTATCATAGCTCACAAGGCCCAACATGTCTGGCCCATGCCTACCACCTCCATCCTTACCGATCTTTATCCTCCTTCAGGTCTGGAGAATGAGATGTGGAGATTGAGGACCAGGACCTCAGTGCCTTTACACATTCTGCCCTGCCCCCTCCATGGACTAACTTTTCTCCTACCCCCGTTCCCAGTCCTATTGCTCTTTATCCAGCCAAGGCCCATGTTTCATACTGTTTGTCCTCAGCTTAAACATCATCACCCCAGAGATACCCATCCTGACCAACCCTGGCTCCCATGTGCTACTATAGCACCCTGTGCTTACCACTTATTTTATTCCTTATCACACAATACTTTAACTGTTAATCCAGCTCGTTCCTCAATGGGATCTGAAATGTATAAGGAGGAAGCAGTGTATTTATTTTTTTAATTTTTACTTTTTTTAATCCTCACCTGAGAATATGTTTATTGATTTTAGAGAGAGAGGGAGGGAGAGAAGGAGAGAAAGAGAGAAACATTGATGTGAGAGAGGGATGGGGGTGGGTGCCTCCTGGGATGGAACCCCACAATCTTTTGGTGTGCAGGATGACGCTCCAACCAACCAAGCCACCCAGCCAGAGCAAAGCGGTACTTTTAATAGTGTTTTCCTAGAGCCTATCACAGTGCATGGCTTGCTCTAGGTGCTCCACATACTTAAAGAAGGGACAGAGTCAATCAATACAAATTTAACAAATGTCTACCCAATCAGACACTGAACTAGGTACTGTACACTGTTGAACAAAACAGACCATCTCTAACCTTGCAGAGCTTACAACCTAATACGAAAATATAAACAAGTAAGCAAACCAAATCTAATCACAGTGAAATGCTCTATGAAGGAAGTAAATGAGGGCACTTTTTAGGACAGTCAAGAAAGGGTTAACGCCGAAACCGGTTTGGCTCAGGGGATGGAGCGTCGGCCTGCGGACTGAAGGGTCCCAGGTTCGGTTCCGGTCGGGGGCATGTGCCTGGGTTGCGGGCACATCCCCAGTGGGAAATGTGCAGGAGGCGGCTGATAGATGTTTCTCTCAGATGTTTCTAACTCTCTCTCTCCCTTCCTCTCTGTGGAAAATCAATAAAATATATTTTTAAAAAAAGAAAAGAAAGGGTTATCTAAGGAGAAGTTTGCATTTTAAAGCTGAAAAGGAATAGGTTAAGCCCCTCTATTTTAGGGAGTGGGCCAACGAGTATATATTACGGGACTACGACGTGGGTGTTAGACGTTAGAAGTAAAATGCAACTAGACCTTCCGTAGGTTTCCGTCATACTCGGTGCCCCGAGGACTTCTCTATCCCCTCCCCGTCGGGCTCTCTCTTAGGGCTCCGGTCTATCTCCCCCCACCCAACCCCCGCCACTCTATTCCCCGCCCCCTTCTTTGTCCGAGGTTTCTCCCTTAGGACTCCCTCCCTCTTCCTGGGCCCAGGTCTTGCCTCCGTGAAACCCCCATAAGTCGTCTGGTAGAACTCATCTTCCTCCTCTGCCTCCAGAAGCCCGGAAAGCCGGTTTCCCGCGGTCTTCCGTGGGGCCCGGCCCCCAGCCAAACTCATACCGCCTACTGAGACCGCACCGCCAACAGCGGCCCCTCACCCGGCACGGGGAGCTCGGTGCCCGACACCACCGCCTGCGGACGGAAGCCGGTCATCGCCAGGCAGAAGCAGCAGAGCGTCGAGGGGCGCCTGGTCCCGCCCCGAGGCCGGCTTTGCTCTTCAGCCCCGCCCACTCCTGCCTGGCCCCGCCCCGAGGCCGGCTTTGCTCTTCAGCCCCGCCCACTCCGGCGCCCACACCAGCCTCAGGCTCCTAACTCGCGCACACCTGGGTTGTGGAACCACTCCACACGGTGACGCTGCTCTACTACCTTAAGTCCAGAATTTAGGACTCTACAAATTTTCGTTTAGAAGAGGCCAGCCTCCCTCTGCTCCAGTCCGTGTTTCACTCTGCTACCGATAGGAATCTTTCTAAAAACCCAGACTTTCCCCCTCTTCTGCTTAAAAATCTTTAATGGCTTCCTATCATCGGCGGGATAAAGTCCAAAATCCTTGAGGTAAAATAGTAGTGTTGGTTAAGGGCAGGCTTAGAGCCAGCTAGACCTGAGGTGGAGTTTGAGCTTAGAGATTCTAGCTGTGTGATTTTGGACAGGTTGCTTTACCTCTCTGAATCTGTTTTCTCTTCTGAAGGTTGTTGAGAAGATTAAGAGAGATAATCCTTATAAACTGCTTCACATTGTATTGAGAACACACATAGATATTTAGTAGGTGATTACTACTATTAACATGGCACTCAACAACCTTCATAGTTTAGCCTCTCCCTGCCTTTTGAGCCTCACCTATGCCACATCATTCTATTCCAGTATCACTTCCCTAACACCCACTTTTCTGTCATGCTTCCATGCTGTTCCTTCTCCCGAGAACCCCTTTCCTTTCTTAACTACCTGGCAAAATTATAACTCTATAGGACAATGAAGTCGTCCTGCACACCCATTCGGTTCTTCTTTTCATAGTCATGGAAATAACGCCTTCTTGATTCTTTAGAATAGTTCCAATCTGAAATAGTCTGTGGTATTGTCAAGCCTTTATGTTAATGTTTATTCCAATTAAAAAATATATTTTTATTGATTTTTAGAGAGAGAGGAAGGGAGAAGGAGAGAGAGAGAAAGAAACATCCATGTGAGAGTGGAAAATCAATCGGCCACCTCCTGCATGCCCCCATGGGGGATCAAGCCCAAAGTTGGGGTTATGCCCCTACCAGGAATTGAACTGGCAACCTTGCCATGCACAAACTACACCCAGCCAACTGGGCCACAGTGGCCAGCGCACTTCCCATTTTTTTTTTTTCAGAAAATGAATAAAACCATATGTCAAACCATAGCACTTGTACATACTCTATGATGGCACCTATTACATTTTATTCTAATGATTTATGTGTCTATCTTTCTCATTAGTCTGTGGTCTTTTTGAGGGCAGGAACTTTATCTGTGTATACCAATAACTCTCATAGTGTGTGGGACATTGTTGGGGCTAAATAATGTTAATTCAGTCAATGAATTAATGAAAGGCTAATTTAATGATTAGGTACCCATTCTCTTATTTTGCCTCTTTGTTGATCTTGGCAGCCCCTAGCCCCTCCATTCTGACCTTAGGAACTATTTTAAGACATGAAGTTCACTTTAGTAAGACTGTGTGTGTGTCCCTATTTTGAGATAACTGGATTGCCCCCCTTTTCCAAAGTCTATGTTGGTGAACTCCCTTTTCCATTTCCTTGGAGTCACCAAGCCAACATGTCCTGCTCTGCCCCTACTTCCACACCCTGTGACGTCATGAGGTTCTGCTATGCCAGGAATGTTACTGGGCAAGAGTGGCTCCATGACTCAGAGCACATCAGCAATTGAGTGGGAGTGGGAGCAGAGACAACGTTTAGGGGAAAAAGATGGGAGGCACCACCAGCCAAACTTTTAAAATTTTACCTTTATCCATTCATATACTCAGGAGGCAGTTACTCTGTGCCAGGCACAATTCTAGATCCTTGAGGTATAAAAATGGATAAGATGTAATCTTTGCCCTATATGTTCACAGTCTTATGAGGGAGATAAGTAAACACACTGACATAATACAAGTAGCCATTTTTGGTCCATAAAAGAGAAACAAAGACCTGAAAGAAGCTGCAAAATGCAGATCTCTTCTTTTGGGATGATTCATAGATCAAATCCCAAGGAGAAAACCCCGTTTGACCTACCGCCATAGTGAGTCCATTATTGGTCCATTTCCAGTTTTCAAATCAGAAACAACTTTACCTCTACAGCTAATTTCTTTCTTTTTTAACTTTTAAAACATTTATTGATTTTTAGAGAGAGAGAGAAAAAGGGGGAGAGAGAGAAACATCAATTTGTTTCACCTATTTGTGCATTCATTGGTTGATTCTTGTATGTGTTCGGTCAGGTGATGGAACCCCAGACCTTGGCGTATCAGGATTTGCTCTAACCAACCGAGTACCCAGCCAGGACTCTACAGCTGATTTCTAAAATAACTCAGCACATGGTAGCAACTCCATGACTTTTATGGAAACAAAAGTAATTTATTCAACAAATATTTATTGAATATCTATGAGCCAAATCCTATGCTAGACAGTGTAGGCCCCCCTGTCTAGTTTTTGTACTATTTAGTTTGGTGGAGGGGGGTGGTGTAGGTATAGGCAATTATAAAATACTTCAATGCTACGCAATTCCATTGCTATGGAATTACAAATGGAATCCAATCTTTGGAAGTTTCTCTACCCTTCACTACCCAAAGGAGAATGAATAATCCAGCAGGTGGCAGCAGGGAAACAATTATTATACTAGATCTTAATGAGGGAAAGGTAGAAGGCAGTAGTCAGTGTCTAGGGCTATTTTCTGGCCAGTGAGGTCCTAGGTTCCTTTTTGAGGACCCAGAAAGAATCGGGTAGAGACTAACACAGCCATTTTGGGGGCTACCGAACCTAGGATTTTTTCCATTCCTCTTCACTTATTCATCCCACAAATAATTGTTGAGATCCTACTATGTACAGAGTCACATCACCTGAGTAGCTTGAGGATACATGAGTGAACCAAACACAGTGGTTGCTCTCCAGGAGTTCAGTCTCCCCAGGGA